TCCATGATGGCTGCACTAGTCTACACTCCCACCAACTGTGAGGTGTTCCTTTTTCCCCACAGACCTTCCAGCACTTGTTATTGGCTGATTTCTTTCTCTTTTTTTGTACCAGGAATCAAACTCAGGAGCTTGCACTTGCCAGGCAGGCCCTTGGTTGATTTCTTAATGATCCAACTCTTCAATTTATCAATTCTTTGTATTGTTTCTTTAGTCTCAATTGCATTAATTTCTCCTTTGAACTTTCTTTTTTTATTTTTTATTTTTTTTGGTACCAGGAATCAAACTCAGGACTTTGTGCTTGCCAGGCAGGCGCTTGTGCCACTGAGCTATATCCCCAGCCCTCCTTTGAACTTTATAATTTCCTTCCTCCTATAAACTTTGAATTTAACTTGCTCTTCTCTTAGAATGTTGAGGTTTTACATTAGGTTATTTGAGCTTGCTGGTTTTTTGTGGGAATTCACTGCTATAAATTTTCCTTGTAGGACTGCTTTCATTGGGTCCCATAAGTTCCAGTATGAGAAAAAAAAAATTTAAAAAAAAAAAGTAAGTTCCAGTATGATGGACTGGCATTGTCATTTAACTGTATAAAGTCAAATTTCCTTTATCTCTGATCCATTGGTTGTTAAGGAGGGTGTTACTTAGTTTCCATGTATTTATGTACCTTTTGTGGTTTCTTTTGCCATTGATTTCTAATTTCATCACACTATGAGCTGACAATATGCATGGGATAATTTCAATTCCTTTGCATTTACTTAAGCATGTTGTATGAGCTAGTACGTGATCCATTTTGGAGAAGGTCCCATGTGCTGCTGAAAAGAATGTGTATTTTGTCATTGAGTGGAACACTGTAGATATCTATGAAGTCCATTTTCTCAAAGTCTTGTTTCAGCTGGTTATTGATTTTTTTTGTCTACTTGATCTATTTGTGAGTGGGATCCTGAAGTTGTCCATTACAATTATATTAGTACTTATCTGATTTTTCATACCCATTAGTGTTTGTTTTATAGTTGGGTGTTCCAGTTCCATCAAAAAACTGCAGACTGAAATATCTTAACATTTTGATCATTGAAATTTAAAAAACAACAAATATTAGAAATCAAAGAGTTCTCTCCCTCAAATATAAGGGGATCCCTTTAATATTTATCCATGGAGCTTCTTGTAATCATAAAAAAATTTTATCAAGATCAATGAAAGAAGTGATTAGAAGCAAGGGTGAAGGACAAAGGAAGATTACCTGAGCCTCAGGAACTGGTGAAGCAGCCAGGAGGAAAGGAAAAACGGAAAAAGACATCACCCACACCCAAAAAAACAAAAACACAGAACTTTCTCTGATTTCAAGCATATGGTTATATTCCAGGGTCTAGTTTTGTGGCAGTGTCCAATTCAAGACACTCTTGCTGGTAAACGATGGAGGCAGTTAGAGCCCAAAATCATGCTGAATAACCAGCAAGGGGGCAGTAGAATAAGGTAGGGTGTCGATCCTGAACTTTTAAGTCCGCAGAAACTGAGGTTGAACCTGGCCTCTTGTGGAAGTAGGGCCTGAGCTGTTTAGCTTCTAGCAGTCTGGATGTCTCTGGCTAGATGGATGTCTCCTGTGGCTGGGTCTGACCCAGTCCCTGTGGGAGCTCAAAACCGGCAGCCCTGAAATGAAGCCGACCCAAGGCTGCTCCTGAGTATCAGGCTCAGTTGGCTCCCCTCTAAAATGGCATCGAGCCAGGTCCTCTCTCCAGGGGATATTGGTAGTCGCCTGGACTGCAGTCACCACCAGCCATTGTAATGCACAGCATCTGGTGCTCTGTTCCATTCGTGTTTCTCCCTGAAGGCCTCTGGAGTCACCACCTGCACTGTCTCTGTAGATTGGATCTTCCCTTCTCACACAAGCCAGGAGCCAGAGAGAAAGTGCACAGCGCCCCTTCGTTTTCCTGCATTGTGGTCTCTTCATTCTCTGTAGGCTCCAATATTCCCTTCAGATTCTCCCTAGGTGCCAGAGACCCATCGTGGTGGATTGACAACTGGTGGTCAGTTTGTAAAAACCAGCTGAACTGAGTAAGCATGGTGCTGGGTGTGGGAGGCCCACCTGGGGACTGTCGCCAGCAGCGTAAGAGGCAGAACTGGACAAGTTAGGCTACCTGGGAGCTGGAAAAAGCTGTAAGGAGCTGTTGGAGGAGCTTGTCAGGCACTCAGCTGTTTTCATCTTCCAAAGAGCTCAAGACCTTGTTGGCACTGAAAATGGCTTCGGTTCACTTTGGGGGAGCTCTGACCCTCTTTGAGCATCGCTTCCTGGTTCCAGAAGGGAAGATGGTGCGATACTGGTCTCCTGGAGAAGCTTGTTGCACTGGCTTTCCTGATGAGAACCTGGCTTTCCTGATCATCAGAGGAGCTCAGGACCTGTTGCTGAGGATGGCTGTGATATTTTTCAGGAAAGGTCTGATTTTTAACTTTGTGCACTGTTTCCTGGCTCCAGTGGAGATCCCTTAGCCAGCTAGCACAGACCCTTCAGCCCGCTGGCACACTTTGTAGCTTCCACGGACCTTTGGGCCTTCCCAGCACCATCTGTGAAACAGGCTTGCCTGAGATAGTTACGGGCTCTAGGCCTCCAGTTTGACTCACGAGGCATTGTTACAAGCTCTAGGTCTTCAGCCGCACTCATGCAGGACATTATTGTGGGATCAAGGACCTCAGCTTGTTAAGGTTCTTTTGGTCTTTAATGTGTGGACACATTTCCTGCACTCTATATGATTCTTTGGGTTACTATTACAGTGTAATAAAATGTGTCCTGTGCTATATTATTCCCTTGCAATATCCCTCAAACCATGACACCCATCTTCCCTCCTCTTCCCCAAATTATTTCCCAGTTCTGGATTCCAAATCTTGATTTGTTGCTGCTTACCAACTCCACCATCTTCCTAACCTCTGCCTTTTTAACTCTGAGAAATCTCCCTACTGATTTCCATAGTAGTTGTGCCAACTCACACCCCTACCAACAAGAAGGGTTCCTTTTTTCCACAGCCTTATCTGCACTTGATTACTTGATGGTAGCCGTTTTTCCTGGAGATGTAATCCCAATGTTGTTTTAATTTGCATTTAGTGGCCAGCGATGTTGGGCATTTTTTCATGCTCTTCTTGGCTATTTGTACTTCACCTGTGAAGTGTCTATTCATTTCACACACCTTGTTAAATTTGAGGGGGTCTAATTTTTTATTTTAGTAGCTGGCAAAATTCGTTTCCAATTATGCAGGTTTCTTTTCACTGTTGGCTTCCTTTGCTGTGCAGCTTTTTAATTGGATGTGATCTCAGTTGTTGTTTGTATATCCTGTGTGACCAGGGTTTTGCTAATAAAAGTTTTTGCCTATACCTATGTCTTCAAGAGTTCTACCTTTTCTATCTTCCAGCAAATTGTTTAATCTGTAGATCTTTGATCCATTTCAATTTTAACTTAGTGTATGGTGAGAGAGATGGGTTTAGGTTCAGTCTTGAGCACTTAGGAAGTCAGTTTTCCCAGCACCATTTCTTAAAAGCTTTTTCTTCCAGAATGTTTGACCCCCTTTGCCAAATACAAGGTAACTAAGTGTGGCACTAGGCCCAAGTCTTAAAGTGTTCCAAACAGAAGGACATAACCTTGTAACAGTACAAGGACCACATCTTTCACACAACACCCTTTGAGAAACATTGCAGATCAAGAACTAAAGCAATGCCCAAGAATCCTAATGGTGGAAGAGTACTGTCCTACTGCTTCCAAGTCTTCAATCTGCATGTAAACTAATAATTCAAACTAAGATAGGCTACAACCAGCTTGTGGAGATATCCCATAAACTTTAGAAACACCTTAAAGTAATTGCAACTCGGTACAATGGACTTGTTTGGTTTTAAATTTTATTTTTGTATCCTCGATCTGCCATAAACCAACTATTACAAAAACTTTTATCTTTTAAAGTTGAAAAATGAGAATCCTCTGCTATTCAGTTAGTATTTTCTAGTATGCAGTTCCTCTCTGAGAGTGAATCGTATCACTCACATTTCACTGTACATCTCAAAAAGGTCTGAAAACATTAACCACATCTTCCAAATTGAAAATGAAGGTCTAGTGTTCAAAGTCTGGTAATTTCCAATGATTGGCTTGTGGCCTCTTTTTTGCCGGAGCAATGACATGGGGAAGTTCTATTTTCACTACCAAACACAGAACTAAAAACTGTAAAGAGGTTTAGTGACAAGACATTCACTCAAACATCAAGCAATTGTAAGTATTTCTTTCTCCAGGTTTTACCACAGCCAAACCGCAGGCCCAAGTGTGTGTTTTCAGTTGCACTGTGCTGCCCCAAAATCCGTGTTTAGGTGAGATCTTTGGGGTGAGATCTAATGCAATAGATTCCGGCCCTTAGATATGGGATGAATTTGGACAAATATACACACAAAGGGAATAGCCAGGTGAAGCCCAAGGCAGAGTTTGGGACAACGCCCTGAAACGCCGAAAGAGCGGAGAAACAAACAGCCTCAATACATGGACAGGTTCTTCCTCACAGTCCTCAGAAACCACCAATCCTGCTACCGTATCCGAGGCTCCAAACATCCAGGATTGTGTTCCAGTCCTCGAACAGTAATGCATCACCTTTTCTTTTTGGCTTTGTTTTTGGTACCAGGAATCAAACTCAGGACCTTGTGCTTGCCAGGCAAGCGCTTGTGCCACTGAGCTGTATCTCCAGCCCCTGTAATACATTATCTTTTAACATCATGTTTATCTCACTTTTCCCTCACTTAAAGTGAGTAAGTCTCAGAACTCATACAACTAAGAAAACCTCTAAAAACCCTCTCACAAGCAGGCCATGAACAATGGTTGAAAATCAGAGAAGGCTCTATCAGTGGAGTTACAGAATGTCCATTTACATTCATATCTGAATTATGCTACAAATACAAAGCATACACACAAGCCAAAGCAGAGAAAAATGAGCACCAGAATTTAGATTTTAATGGTTTTATTCTTGATAAAAAGTGCATTTCTTAAAAAAAAAAAAAAAAAAAAAAAGTTGCAGTAACCAGTTTCAATTAGCAAATGTTAACAATCAACTCAATTCATGACAGGTCTTACTGTGCATCAGATTCTCCTCAATGGTCAAAATGAACCAGAGATACCTTTTAAAAGTATAGCTCTACCTGCTACAGACATTGTGTGAACTATTACATGATCAAATAAAACTGCACTTTATATACAATTTAGTGCAGTTAATAACAGGTATTTTACGTTTCAACTTAATTTTGTAAGTGTTACCAAATTCCCTGTGAATGACTAAGCTCTCTGAGTCTGCCAAGTGATGCCAACAAAAAGCACTGCAGGTTATTAAGTGACCGGCTCGGCTCCCAGTCTTTCTCTAAGTGCATTATCAGGGCTATCCAGAGGAGGTAGTTACACAGGTTGAAAGCAACCGATAATCCACCAACATAGAAAGCAAACTCCTATATCCTCCTTTACTTCACAGGTATAACATGTTAGTGCCAGGTTCTTTTCCCTCAGACCGAAGACCCTTATTTTCACTGCAAACAGCTACTTCCAAGAGTTTAGGACTAAAGGCGTATTTTAAGAAGTACTAGTAGCTCCTGGTACGTCTATGTGAGCAGTAGTAAAAGACAAATGAAATGATCGCAATCCACTGTACAAACAAAACATGAGTGATCAAAAGGAATCCAGAATACAGTCAAGCCTGCCAGAAGCAAATGATGAGCTACATGCCGTAGATGAAGAAAACTATCTTCACAACAGGAACTGACAAGTTTGAAAAGGGCTACATAATAACTATGTTAGCTGTTGGCGATGCAACTGTGTCGGACTAGTCGACTCTGCCCCGCGGCAAGGAAGCAGCCCGCAGTGTAAATGAGCGTGGCCGCGTTCTAACAGAGCTTTGTTTCTAGACACTGAGGTCCATGCTCACATATTTTCATCCTTTTCGGAACAGTCTTTCAACTTTTTCCAATCATATAAAAAAATATAAAAATCCATTTTAGATCGTGGGCAGTACAAAAACACGTGGCAAGTGTAGCTGTCTGGTCCCTATATGAAAACTAATGCCACCATTCAATGTCTATATTCAAAAACTGGTCCACCTTATATCCATTTTCTTTTATAAAGTTTTCATCCTATAAAAATAAAATGTTTTAAACATCCTTTACTCATTCAATCATGTATAAAAATAATTATTATACTATATTCCAGTTGCAGTTCCCTAACACTATTTTAAAGGTAGACTTCCTATTCACATGTTTTTCATCCACTTAACAAAGCTGCCTTCGGGTGGGAATTAATATACTGCTGGGGGGGGCCCACAGGGTTTATGAACATCCATTATGGCACTGTTCGGTACAGAATAACCTGCAGGTACGGTTAACAGCCACAGCCCCTTCCAGTGTGTAGGACTCCCTGTCCCTACACTGAAAAGCCTGACTTCATCACTAAAATTCCGGGGGCACGTCCCTCCCCCTTCCTCCTCACTTTATCACTCCGTAGTACACCAACTACTGTGAGCATTGCTGCTTGCTATTAAACAGTTCAGCTTTATCCACAATTACAACTCTGTGAGTGTAATATAAATTACACAGGGTTTCTCTTTGGCATCGACAATTGGAAAGATAGCCTTCAGTTTTATAGTCTTATTAAAGAGTAGGGGTTACAGCTTAGCACGTGTCATCTTTGGATATCAAAAACAAGTTTAATTGTTCACTGGAAAAGGATTAGTATATAAAGAGAAAAATGGTTAACACATTGTAAAATTTAGTATGTGTTCTCCCAACTGAGTGAACTCTCTAATTAAAAGTACCACACAGATCTTCAAATTTGAAAGGTGGAGCTTTACCTGGCATATAGTAAATATCCCATTAACAGGGCCCAAGAAACCATTAATTTAAGCAATTAGTAACAAACTTTTTGAGATAGGGTCTCGATAAATGTCTAGGCTCATCTTGAATTCAACTCTCCAAAATGCTGGTATGTATTACAGATGTGAGCTATCATGCCTCACTTCAACAAATAAATCTTGATAAACCCACTTCAAAATCCTATTACATGACTTTTTCACTTTCTAAAGTCTCTTGAATTAAAGCAATTCTTACAATACCATGTTTAAACATGTAAGGGAAATCTGACATCCAAGCTCAAGCTCAAGAAAAATTCACTTTAAAGAATCAAATTATTCAACTGTACCTTTCAAACATTTTATAATAAAACAAATTCTCAATGAAGTAACATAACAAGCTACCAAAAGTCCTCACTAGTATGACAAAGCATTTCTGTCTTCATTATGACACTACTAATGCCAAACAAATCTTAAGAGATAATATTCCCTTTTGCAACGTTTATTAATAAAGTGACAGCAAAATTTAGACTGATTGTATTTCTGATTATTTGAAAACGTTGCTATCAACAGAAAATGAGACAATGATCCACATACACTCATGAGAAAATGCTGTCTAAACTGATGCATTAACAAGGTTCTGTGTAAAATGAGATTCTTACTCTTAATGGTACCTGTTTTTATTTAAATCCCGTATTTTTAGAGGCTCAGAAAGAGAGAAAAATCTGTCCTTAACTGTTAGAGAGTTTTAAACTTTAAGTTAAAGGCTTCAAAAACAGTCTGCAACTCTCGATTTATTAACTTCAGAAATTTATAAAAGTCTAGCTTTAATCTTTCATTTTAAGAACTTAAATCTGCTTGGGTTAGCAAAACCTACAGAAAGGCTTGGAGCCTCTTAAACCTATTACAAGTGCAATTCATGGTATCGGTACCTGCAGATACCCTGGGTGTCTGTTAGAAACGTGGGCTCTCAGACCCCAACTTCGATCTACTTAATCAGAATTCAGTTTTACCTGCACCCTACAAATCCGAAAAGCACTGTTAAATACCTGAAGTTCAGTCTAATATGTATGTGTCTGCATATATATCTTTTATGTATGAAACATACAAAGGTTTTCAAGTGGCTGAGGGATAAAATGGATATGGGTTTAATAATACAGCCTCCTCCACCTACCAAATCTCCTCTTAAATCTCAACCAACTAGCTTTTCCAACAGCAATTTTTAAGAATTTTCATTCCTTTAAAATCCCACTTAGATACAGATTTCCATACTTTTTTCCACTTTTATTTCTTGTTACTGCAATAAATGAAATTCTATTATCCTGAAATAGGTAACAAAATCCTTAACTACCTTCAAACTGTACAGAAAATAGAATCCATGGGCAATGTCAGGAACAATCACTCTTTTAAAGTTCAGCCTTCAATCCTATATTTGACTGTATTACTCCTAAAATGATTAATTTACACTATTCACTCAATCTACACAATCTGGAATTAAGAGTAAAGCTCCAGGAGTTTCAAATTTGTTGACACAGCCCAGTACCTTTAAATAATGGACTCAATTAAATACTGAAAATTTAGGTCCACTGAAATCAATTTAATAGATTTCACAGGTGTTAGAAATTATACTGTGTGCCATTAGATCCTTCTGGTGAGTAATTATTAAGAAACCGTATCTGACTGTTGTTAGTATTATCTGCCATGTTTTATTAATGATCAGAAAAGAGCTGGAAAAAATTCTATTTTATTAGTGAAACAATACATTTGGAGCCTACCAAAATATGAATGCTTTTGTTACTTCAGGGAGATATTTGCAGAAAATTTAAGGCAAGAATACTGAAGTAAGGCGATTCACATATATGCTTGTCACCATAGCAACCAAAAAAGATTCAACAAGCTGACATTTGGCCTCAAATAGTATTTTTATGCACAAGTTCACCGAACCACAATTTAACTAGTATTTATATCACATTCAATTAAGTACAAACATGGTAATCATTTCGGTCACATTTTCTGCTGTACTATCCAGTTTCCCAAGAACTTCATCCCACTAGCATATGAGAACAGTCCATACAAATCTTATGGCAATGTAGTCACGAAATAAACTGACTTACTCTGAACTGTCTCTGCATTAAAGTATGCAGCTATCCCTTTGTCAAACACACCCTTTCTTACTCATACCTGTGTCATACAAACTCATGTGCTTCTTCAATATTAAATACAATGGTCTAAATTCCAGTACTTGGGAGGCTAAGGCAGGAGGATCACTGCAAGTTCAAGGCCAGTGTGGGTGAATTCAAGGCCAGCCTGAACTACACAGTGAGATCCTGTCTCAAAAAAAAAAAAAAAAGTGGACTTTGTTAATGGTCCTAAGACACTAAAGGACTACAGATGATTATTATAAATATGGACATTGTAAACCACAACTGTGATTCTATTTTCAAAATTTTTGAGTGTTTAGTTTTTTAATCAAGCTATAATTCTTAGTTCAACAATCCCAGAATTTAAGACCATCATTGTACATACATATCACACGCACATGTGCTATATATGTGTGTACATTTCAAACCAAAAATATGTATAGTAATATATTTCTTATTTCGATAAAAAAAGATAATCAATTTTTATTATACGGGTTGGTTGGAGATCCCTACTGGATAGGGAGACCTTAAAGTAGACAAAAGGTTAAGCTCTCTATGACTTGATGTACGTCTATGACTTAACATAGAAGTATATTTTCCAAGTAGGAGTTAACTATACAACTAACAAGATCACTCACTGATCCTATCAGAGAACAAGTGAGATAAACTCTAGTTTAAAAAAAAACCCACAAAAATAAGCTGGACAAGTTGGCACACACCTGTATCAGAGCACTCAAGAGAGACTACAGCTAGAGGATCTCAAGTTCAAGACCAGCCTGGGCTACACAGCAAGTCCCTGTCTCTGTCTCACACACACAAAAACGTAACATATACGGTAAGCCAGGCACTAATACTACGTGGTGAAATTTACAAATGTTTTAATTACACACTCTATTTTTAAACTTGGCAAAACATACATACAACATACATAAAAAGAACAGTTTCAAACTTCTTCCAAGTTTACTTTCACGAATAGGTGGAAAAAGCAGGTTTTATCTCTAGACTTCTTATAGTCCAATTTGCAATGAATATATACTCAGACTAAACTCTTCATTAAGAAGAAATGTTAATGAGACACTTTCTAGTGGCTGGTATCTTCTTCCAGACCAAAAGAAAAAAAATAAGGGCATGAATAGCAAAGATGTCACGTAACATTGTCTCGTTTCAATAATTTTACTTTCTGGATACGTTAGAAATAAACCCATGTTTTAATGGAGACCTTTCACTAAGTACAAAACTGTTGCTGTATTTGCAGATACAGAACACTACAAGTATTTGCAGCAAGCCCGTGAAGTATTTCCACTGCCTATATCGACATTTCAGTATTAAATATATACAAATGTTTCAATTAAACAAAACCAAGGTATTCACAAAAAGCTGAAGAAAAACTCATGCAATCAATGAGGGTTGAAATTTATAAATTAAATGCCATCTATACATAATGTACAAACAGTCACGCACTTAGCAATGAATACTGCATGTCTCCAGAGTAAATTTTCACAGGCAAATGCTGCTGCACAAGTATTTGGTAATGCAAAGGAATGGGATTTTAGTACATTCTGCATTAATATTTTAACCTAAGAAGTTGAAACTTGGCATTTTAAAATTTTTCTTCCAAGTTGTCCAAAGGTGACATCTACAGGTGGGAAAAAAAAATCCCAGTTTTTTTTGCTTCTCTTTTGAACTGTTTTACCAGGAACATATTTCCCAAACCTCTGGTAAAACAAAATAGGAATAATAAACAAAATTTGACTTATTTTGCATTACACACTTCACCAAAATAAGAGTTCAAAATATGGAATAAAATGTATGCGTGTTTCTACTTTTGCTTTCAATTTCAGTGAAATATTTAAATTTCACGAAAAACTATACAGAGTATCCAAGAAAATATGGTTCAGGAAAAAAAAAAAACTTACCTAATGAAATTAAGAAACTGTACTTACACAATAAAATCATTGCCCTTCACAGTGTTAAATGTTACTAACTTTGCAGTTTCCTCTTAAATTCTGCACTATGTTAAACCATGTTTTTACCAATCAAGAAGTAAGGACAGGTTTTAGAATCTTCAATTTTCCCTTAAGATACTAACTAGAATTTTCATTGGCTGGTGATCTCCAACGTGACTGCAGATTTTTTATTATAGAGTTCGCCATAGTACCAAGTTTCTCGTGCATTTCAAATAGCTGACTTCCTGAATAGTTATGGAGATCTTCTGAATCCAACTGAAGAGCAAGAGCACTAATTTGTGCCACAAGATTTTTGGATAATGGAGTTTCTAAAGTGACAGGATCAATCAAATCTAAGAGAGAAAAAGGGTATTAAAGTATACAGGTTAAAGTTAACATGCATGTATCTCTCATCAAATTAAAAAAAAGTTTAACTGCCTGGGGTTTCTTTATGGGGTTATTTGGCACTGCGAAATGAACTCGGGACCTTGCACTGCCAGCCAGACCTTGTACTGCTGAGCTCTATCCCTAACTATGTGCCTCAGCTTCAAGTAAGAAAACAGCCTGGGATAGAACTGTTTCTCAAGGAAACAGTATGACAGAAAAAAAAAAAAAAAAATTCGGAACTCCTCCTAGTAAAGAAATGCTACGTTTTATTACCATCACTGGAGCAGAAGGTATAGTCTGTGTTTACTGGAGTCTGTGATAAGCTGGAAGCTGACAGAGAAAACCAATGAAGTTACCTCCTCATGTATTTCTTAGTAAGCACCAAAACATGTATTCAATTCATACAGTATGGCCAAATTAAAAGCATAACAATTATTTTTAAAGTTAGCTGATCCTCAGGCCTGGGGATTTAGCTGAGCGGCACAGTGCCTGCCTGGCAAGCGTGAGGTCGTGAGTTCAATTTCCGGTACCCAGGGTAGGGGGTGGGGGGTGGGGGCGGGGGTGTCAGCTGATCATCTAAATAAAATTATCTTATTTTAGTAAACTATACCTGAGGCAAGTCTTTCTTCATCCGCTGATTTATTTTCTATTCCATTTAGTGTTTTCTCAGAAATATCAAAAACCGGAATTTCTTCAAGTCCTTGAGACTTCATCTTGATTATACATTTGGAACAATGAAAAAAAAAAAAAACAAAAACACAAAACCACAAGTCAAAATTACTTTTTCTTCCCTTTACTGAAGAACTGGCAATTAAATTCACGGCCTCTGCACCAAAGCTACACATCACCAGTCTCTTTTGAGACAGATTATGGCTAGATGGCTAAACTGCCTAATCTAGGCTTGAACTTGTGATCCTCTTGCTTTACCCTTCTGAATAACTGAGATTTATATGTAAATATAAATTTATATGTAATACAAGTCATAGTACAAATGTTGGAAAAGCATGTAAAATATAGAACATATGTTGCAAAACCCCTAATAATTAACTCAGTTAGTATAATATTGCTAAAACAGTGTGTAAGAAATACAAAATTAGCCAGGCGTGCTGGTACACCCCTATAATTCCAGTACTAAGGAATCTGCAAAGTTCAAGGCCAGCGTGGGCCACAAGGTGATTTCAACCATAGTCTTAACTACATAGTGAGACCCTGTCTCAAAAATACAAAAAAGCTGGGAATGGTGGTACAAGCCTGTAATCCCACCACTGGGGAGGCTGAGGCAAGAGGATTACTGTGAGTTCGAGGCCAGCCTGGGCTACATAATGAACTCAAGGCCAGCCTTAACTACACAAAATGAGACTCTGTCTCAAAAAAATTAAAAATAAAAAGAAATACAGAAATAGTATTACACAGAATTTCCTCAAAGGGACGGTCAGGAATTGTTCTTTTTTTTTCTTTGTCCCCCCCCCCAGTACCGGGAATTGAACTCATGACCTTGCGCTTGCCAGGCAGGCGCTGTGCCACGGAGCTAAAGCCCCAGCCCCTCATAATGGACTTAAATTCGTGTGGTTGGCAGTGTAAGTCTGTGAGTTGGTAGTGTAAGTCTGTACATTCTGTGGATTAACTTTATTGCTGCTCATAAATTACATATATGCGCACACACACACACACACACACACACACACACACACACACACACTCCGGTGCCCGTGGACGTCAAATGAGAAAATACATGAGAAACATCAATCTACGCCTATACACTCTCTGGGCATCTTTTTTTTTTCTCTCTCTCTCTCCTGTTTTTTCTCAGTGGTACTGGAAATTAAATCCAGAGCCTTAGAAATAAGCTACGTAATTAGCTCTTACTTTAAAACTGGAATCTAACTTGCTTGGGCTGGGCTTGAACTTGTGATCCTTTGGCCCTAGCCTCCTAGAATTCTGGAATTACGGGATGTACAACTAGGCCTAGGTTTTTTTCTGGTTTTTTTTTGTTTGTTTGTTTGTTTGTTTTTGTTTTTTTGATATCGTAATAGGTCAGCAAATGTTCTTCAGGATGACAAAGAATGCAAATTGATGACTTTTAAGAATACAAAACTGTTCAGTAGCTGGCCAACACCATTTTAAGAAAATCTTGATATAGAACACTGGTTTTCACTCCTAACATACTCTTTTTTTTTTTCACTTATTCACAAATTCTAACAGTGTCACCAGATGTGACACTGTAATCTAAATGGGTTTCAGGAATCTATAAATCCTAAACCTATATATAAAATTTTCTGTATACATTTCCATGTAGGTAAGAATCTTAGCTTTCATTAGAATCTTGAAAACTGCACAATTCCAATGTTTATGGGCAAAATGTTGATAGGAAGTAAAAGAACTTAAGTCCAAATGTGCAAGACATCAAAACACCAGCTGGATGTGGCGGTGCATATCTGCACTCTGGGGGGTTGTGTAGGAGACAGAAAATTCAACTCAAGGCTGAGTGAAGTGGCACATGCCTATAATCCCAGCACTCGGGAGGCGAGGCAGGAGGATCACTGTGAGTTCTAGATAGCCAGCCCAGGCTACAAAGTGAGCTCAAGTCCAGCCTAAACTGCACAGCGAGACTCCATCTCAACCACAAAAAAAAAAGCAAGTTCGACCCAGCTTGGGAAACTTAATGAGACTCTGTCTCTAAGGTAAAAATTTTAAAAAAGGGTTGATGATGTAAAGGTTTGCAAAGGCCCTAGGTTCAACCACTAGTACCATACCCTTCCACATCAAAATAATGTCACCTAAATATTTGCAATATTTTTTAAATGTTTGGATTTGAACATTTAGGTTTTAGGAACAGCAGTTGTTTCACAATGGAAATAAACAAGGGGACAGAAAAGAATTCAAAAAATAAAAGAAATTTAAAAACAAACCCAGGGAATATAATACAGAAACAGTACAAAACGAATAAACTGTACTGTGGGAATAAAAAGCGCTCTTGATGGGCAGGGAAGGACCCAAAACATGACTTTGTAAGACAGTTTAAATACAGACACCTACACTGTACAGTGCACTGTCAGACCAACTATTACCACGCAATGTGTAAGTACCACGTAAGTTTTTACCTGCTGTTCATGATACATTCGGAGAGCCTTCCTCACATTCGACACTTTTGGAGAACGAATAGGAAGCGTTTTTATTTCTGAGGCCGTAAGAGTACTCAAATCCCCAATAGTTTTTATATTCTTGGCTCTGATAAGTTGTCCCAGACCTCTTGCCCTGAAGATAAAGAAAAAAGCGTAAATGTATCCAGTTTTTTACATGGTATTTTTCATGGCTTATTAAGCTAAATTTCTCCATTTAAACACAATCAAATGCAGTGGTGCACACCTTTAATGCAGGCAGTCAGGCGGCTAAGGCAAAAGGATCTCAGTAGGTCATAGGGCAGCATGCGCTACACAGTAAATTCAAAACCAGCCTAAGCTACAGAAGGAGACATTTACTGAAACAAAACACAACAACGACACTCATTCATAACTGCATTTGTTCTATAGCTTACAGTGAGGCAGGCATATTCTGTCTAATTTAAAATAAAATTTGAATCTGATATGTAACATCTGGCTTAAGCAATTATACTGGAAACAATCCCACTGCATGCTTCATGCTTTATATACTTTTTAGATTCTCTTTCATTTTTTGAAGAGAAAGTCTCACTATGTATAGTTCAGGTTGGCCTTGAACACACTATGTTGCCATGCTGGCCTCAAACTTGTGGCAATCTTCTTGCCTCAGCCTCCGGAGTGCCAGATTACAGCACCACATCCAACCACCACTAGTCTCTAATGAAGATGAATTTTAAAATTTCCTTAAGTATGTATGAATGCACCTTACATGTTACCTGATTTACAATAGGGAGAGATACAATGCTCAGGTTTATCTGTGGTTGTGGGCATGTTACTGTTTTACTAAATCTCCTAATGTAGACCTGTTTTAATGGACCATACCTCCAGCTTCTATGCATCAGAATTCATGTTATGTCTGACACAATTTACTGAAGAACAGTTCATATCCTACTGAGGAATATACCATGAAAGGGCAGACTAATAATTCAACTGAAGGGAAATTTTCACTTCCTAGCCTTTTGGCTAAGACCGAGTATAGTATCAAATAAGGAGAGATTATCTTGAAGTCTTTTAATCAATATATGGCAATTCAGAGCTGCTTACCCACAGGCATTTAACTTTCCCAGATATCGGGGAAACAAACTTTTAGTTAAAATAAAATTTTTTTGAACTTCACGAAGTTTATCTATTCATGCTTTACATGACAACTTACTGGAGCTGGGGACAGCTCAGTGGCACAGCGCCTGCTCAACAAGCACAAGGGCCTAAGTTCAATTCCCAGTACCAAAAACAAAACAAAACAAGAGAACTCCCTGACATTTGTAACTAGACCACTAGATTATTTTGCTGTGAGATTAGCTACATTAACTGTGAGACTCTGGTAATTAATTTTTTCAAGTTTCACTTGAGAAAAGAAAAATGGCCTGGCGTGGTGGCATATGCTTGTAATCCCAGCACTCGGGAGGCTGAGGTAGGAGGATCGCTGGAGTTCAAGGCCAGCCTGGGCTACAAAGTGAGCTCAAGGCCAACCTGAACTGCACAGCGAGACTGTGCCTCAAAAAGACAAAAAAAAGAGAAAGAAAAATGATATTCATATTCCTTAAGAGGCCTGGATTAGGATTAAACAAGACAATGTTTCAAACAATATTAAGCAAACATTTACTGTATTAGGACAAATGCTTCTAATGGTGCCCATGGCCTACCTTTCAAGTTGCATTTTTATTTCTAAAATTAAATATGTGCAGGAAAAATGCATGTCATTCAATTCAAAATATGACTTTGATTAAATATTAAGTGACATCTTGAAACGTAAGCCAGAAGGCTGAATAACCACTCACCACATATTTGATGTAATCTGAGGTAAAATGATGTCAACTGGTGCTACACAGTTCATCAAAGCTGGGTAGACACTTCCTGAGGGGTATGGCGTAGATTCCTTCGCCATCTCTGTAATCTTAGAACACATTTCAAAAGCTGTTAAGTAAGAGGTCACACCTGGCTGAACATAAAAACAAAAAGATGCACGAAAACTAAAGCACTTCTTACTAAACACTTCTTTGAGGTCTTAAATTTACAGTTACGTGATCCTGGGGACAGAAATCCTTTGGCTGAAGTGGTGTTATGCTAGACAGGAAGGAGAGAAAGAAGAAAACTCAGAACCCTAGACAACTATAATTTCAATCTGATTCTTACAACTCACACTGTAATTACGTTTTAAACTTCGGAAGACATAAAACAACGAGCGACCTGATCGAACACTTGTTAGACCATCACTCCCTCTCGCCCTCTCCTTCCTGTCTGCTTACCACGACACAGACACGGCTAAACGGGTCTATTTCTGCAACAGCTAACCCAACATAAATTACGCACACACAACTCTATGAGTGTATATTTTAAAGCCTACAGCTTACCTTAGTTTGTGAAGTAGGTGAGGTTCTAACACTTTTTATGACAGGAGAGTTATTTGAAGAATGAGACCTAACAAGAGGGCCTCGCCTATCAATGTCATCTGCCAATCCTGCTTGATATATTGGATCTGCAAAGGAGACACGGCGAACCTAAAAACACACAAAGATTTTTGTAATTTTAGAAGTTTTTAAGTATAACACAAATTCTCATTACGAGGTTACCCAAAAATAGGTAGGTGTAGAAGCTTAATTTCTTTCACTAAAAGCCCACTGTACATAGCTGTTGACCCAGTAACTGCTTTCAGATTATTCCTCAACACCACAGTTCATTCTAGTTATCTATGCTCTAATTATCTATTTCTGCAGTTTAGATTATGAAACAAGAATCGCTGCAGACATTCATGGAAGTAATGCCAAACATCAGTGAAAACTCTACAAAAATAGACGTAAAAAAAAAAATAACTGCTTCTGGAACATCTTATTCAACTGTCCTAAACTCTCTTAGTACCATCAGTGTGACAGCAATTATGCAGCAATTTTTACCTTTCTTAGCCCCATTTGTGGTTAATTTGGCCTCTTGTAATCACCTACAGTATACTCACAAATAGGTACAGAATGGAAGTCATTATTATATTGTTACATATCTTGTAGTCTTTACTACCAAAAGTGGGCAGATTCTACAAATAACCACTATAGAAAATACAGTATCTTATTTCCTAGATGTTAAGTATGAGTTACTGTACAACACAAAATTAACATCTAAACAATCTGAAGAATTTCAAAGATACCAAATTTAATGCATTTCATCTTATAGAAGTTCTCAAAGTATTTTGGCATATTATATTTACCATATTAAAGAAAAGAATGGGGCTGGGGATTTAGCTCAGCAGCACAGTGCCTGCCTGGCAAGCGCAAGGTCGTGAGTTCTATTCCCGGTACCAGAAAAAAACCAAAAAAATAAAAACAAAAAATAAAGAAAAGAACAAAACTAAGTGATAGCCTCAGCCTCTACAGAGGCAAAAATGGCCAAAATAGGAGCTAAGGACGTTACTAAGTGGCCAAACGTGTACCAATATGAAGAGGCCTTTCCCACCCCAGGGCAGCGGTGGAAAATATGGCACATGTGCCTCCGTGGATTGTCTGTGGTCACTGAAAGCTCTAAAAGGTTCCTATCACTACCCCTGGGCCACCAAGTAACAATAAACCCAAAGAACAAAAAACCATTAAAATAACCCTCAAGAGTTACTCAGCCTCTCTGCATGGCTCGATCCTGGCCTGCGCAGAGCATCCTGAAAAGCTGAGTCCCTTTCTGTGACACGGTCCTCCTATGCACTTCAGGCTGGCCCGAACTCAGCGGATGACCCAACTGCCTCAGCCTGTCTAGGGTTCTGGGATTACAAGCCCACACCACCACATCCAGCTGAAATGCTGGTGTGAAGAGCTGACAATTCTGGAGATTAAGCAGCACAGCTAGATGCAGAGGGTACTGTTTGTGCCTGCAATGCCAGCCCTCTGGGAAACCTGAGGCAGGACTACTGAGAGTCTGAGCATGTCCTGGGCAACGAAGTGGACATGAAGACCAACTTAGATATACACACAACAAAGAACGCGCGCAGGCAGCGGGCCAGAAGCTAAAGCAGATGGTCAGGGAGTCCACGTTTCCTACAGGAGGTACAGTGTACAACTCAGCATAGGAGATGGACGTATAAACAAAGACATTCTAAACAAGGACCACAGCTCCATAATACAATGTTTTCCTTCCTAGCAGGCGCTATGCCATGCTTTCAATCTGCACTGGGGTAGAAAAGGGAACAAAAAAGACGGAAGGTACGTCTTAGGAACTTTAAGAGCTAAGTTTACAACAACACTTACGTGAAACAACATTCAGAACACATTAAGTGCTAAACTGATTTATCGGTGGCAGTTGGCGTCATGTGACCTCCTAAATCATAGTACAGGAGGGAGAAAAGATACCAAGAGGGAACCTTTAACAATTTTGCCAGAAGTGAACAGTGTACACAGCTACATGAAGAGCTCCACTGTTGTGAAAGGAGGTAGTATGTAAAGGACTTCAGTCCTCTTCCTTAGTACCCACAGCAAGTAAGAAACAAATGGCCACGTAATATTCTGTCATTCGCAAAATGTCACGGCAATGCCGAACAGTATTGAGAAAATAACCGACTAAGTAGTCCTCAGCCACTTTCCTCCTACCTTATTAACAGGTGACGAGACCTCGTCTTCTTGCAGTCGTTTCAGTCCTCTCTTCAGAATGCTGGTGGACGGAGAAGCCAAGGGAGACCAGACACAACGTGTCTGCATGCCACCAGGACTGTCATTTGCTGACAGGAGTAAAGAATCAAGTTCCCTCAATTTTTCAGGAGATGAATCATTGTTTTCCATTACGAGTTCAGAGATAGTCGTTTCAGACGTCGAAGACTGTGATGGTTCTTCCGTTTTATCTGGAGTATGGCTATCTTCCAGTAAAACATCACTTCCCACCGCCACTGGACTGTCACCTAAATTTGTTTCCTCAGACTTACTAAGTTCAATGTTTGTTTCCGTTTTCTTAGACTCAACCCTTCCTTCTTCAGTGCTCATTTCGAGTGTGTCAGGAACAAAACTGTCAAGTTCTGCATTCAACTGTTCTGTTTTGCTTTCTTCCAACTTAGTTTGAGCAGTCACGTCCTCATCCTCTGTTTCTGTGACACTGCCGATTTCATGATTCATGTGACCAATAACCATTTCTTCATAGTTTTCCACTTCAGCATTCATTTGTTTAGATGAGGCGGAATCTGACTCATTACTTCTGTCACCTAATTCCCCACCTGCTATTTGTTCAGAGATCTCAGTCTGAGGTTTCACATTAATAGGTACGGTGTTATCACCAAGCCCAATACCTGAACCAAATTTCTCAGCTGTCACTTCTTCAGCATCTAATTTGTCAGCTGTTTCTGCACTAGGTCTGTCACTACTCTTACACTCCTCTGTTGCCAATTCAGAAGTGTCAGTTTTGATGCACTCTTTCTCAGAAACACTAGCTTCAGATGTATAGTTTTCTGCATCCAGTTCCATAGCTTTTGCTAGCTCTGTACTGGAGCCTCCTCTTGTTTTACATGCATTTCCTTCTTCAATATTAGCAACACGAAGTTCTCTTTTTAGGGGTGTTTCTGGCTTTCCTTCCGTGGCGTCCAAATGACATTCCTCAGAAATGTCCCTGAGATCACCTAAACATGGGTCCACAGCTTTAAATTTTTTACTAGATGGCTCTTCACTTACAGGACATACTGCTTCACCAGAATCCCTTTCATGAGGTTTTTCTTCCAAATTTACTACTTCAGAAGATTTTTGTATAGTATTTTCTTTCGACTTAGTTTCAGGTTCAAGTATGTTTTCACTAACAGTATCATTCCCCTTGAGAACCAAATTAAAATTCACACTTGCATGTTCATCTAAATGTTTCACTTCAGAACACAAATGAGCTTTAGAAGCCGCTTCTACTACAGTGTCAGGTGTTTGCACATCCATCTTTTTCATTTCACTGCTCTTTATTTCAGTATTTTCTGTGTTTTTTAACCCAATGGATGACTTTTCCTGAGGTTGAGATTTTTCCCCACAGCAATCACAACCTTTAGATCGCCTCACCCTCCGACTTCTCTTATGGTGGCATTCATATATCTGGACATTTTTTTCAGGAGGCGTAGAAATTTCTGGTGTTCCAATTCTGGAACATTCTCCCACACTGCTGCTATCAGAATCTCGCTTGAGTAATCTCTTACTAGCATTTCTAGTCCTCAAATTTGATTCTGGGATAGACGAAGGAGTACTCTGAACTTTTGCTAAGGAGTGTTCTGAACTTTCGCTAGTCTTAGTTTTCCCCTCACATGTATTTGGCACATCGTCAGAAACGTGCAATTTATCTGCAGATGCTGTAGAACACTCAAGTATCACAGCATTACTTTCACCTTTTTCATACACGGGAGGCCTTTTCTCTACATCTACTTCAGAAATTGCTTTATAATTCTGTGTGTGATTCTTGACAGTTACTGACTCCCCTTCTACCATTTTTCCCTCTTGTTCTTCAGTATCAACACTGTCACTGCTTTTGTTTTTCAATTTTGCAGATCTCTTCTTCCTTGAACCTTCTTCTTTTGCCTCAGAACTATCAGACTCTGAGTTTTCAATGCTGGAGAGCAATCCCTGAGACGCCCTTCTTGTCTGATAGCGTGTTCTTCCTCTTAAAGGTTTCTCAGAGGACTTGTCTGCAGCGTCCAGGGCACCACCTCCCTCAGAATTAACATTCTCAAGGTCTGATTTTCTTTTATTTTGGTCAGTGTCAGCATTAGCACTGCTTTCATCAGAAGCCTTCTCATGTAAGTAATTTCCTTTCTCAAGTAAGTTTTCCTGTCCAGTTTGTTGTTTAGGTAATACATCATCTTTTACATGCAAGAAACCCTGAGGTTTTTCCTCTTCCTTTCGTCTTTCCCGTTTTTGATGACTATTTTCCTTATCTTGTTTATCACCAATAGTGTCTGTTATTTCTGATCGTCGCCTTGAAGACCGTCTCAGGATTTTCTGACTTGGAGTTACCTGACTCTGACTATCTTCATTTACTGTCTGATCTGCTGGGGTTACTGCTGGAGGCGTATTTTCTTTAGATTCTAAATTAATCCCCATGTTTTTCTCTTGGACAGTACTGTTTTCCAATAACACAGTATTTTCTACTGCTGGTTTAGGCTTTCTATCTTCATGCTCTGGAACAGATTCAGATAAATGAACCTGACCATCTGATGAACATTCTGTTTGATTAAACAAATCAGGTGAGTTATTTTCTAAGGCTACTGTGCTTTCGACCGATTCTTTCTTTTCCTCCTGTTCAGATTTTATTAAGGGTTTAGATCTTTTACTTGCTGACTTCTCAGCTTTATTCAGTCTTCGGCTTGATCTCTTAACTCCATTCGGGTTTTTTTCTGAATCAGATTTTGAATGCACCACTTCTCTCTTCTTTGTTTTTGGTGTGCTGTCCGTTGTAGTCATGTTTTCCTGGGTTTTCTGCACTGAAACACTTGATGACATATTACCCAAGGAGGATGGGCTGAAAGGTCTAGTATCTGAACCACCAAACTTCTCCAAGGTAATAAAGCTTTGCCTCCGACTTGTAGGATATGGGGGAGGGGTTCCAGAAATACTGGCATCAGAAACTGAGCGACTGCAGACTAACGAATTTTCTGCACTAGATGTACATTCAGTTGAAGTTTTCTTTGATGAAATTAAAGTGTTTTTTCTGGCTTCATTATTACTGCTCAGTATTTCTGGACTGGTTTTGGGAACAAAACCACACTCGTTACTTGAAAAAGAAGCCTTTTTGCTATGTTCGTCCATACCACAGTTTTCCAAGGCATCTTGAACAACAGTGTCACTCTTCACTTGCTCCTCCTGTACAGAATACACACACACAGATTAACCAAACAAACATGGCTTTCTAGGGAAATTTGAGTGCAGAACTTTGGTACTTCAAAGGACAGTATTTTCAATATATTGTGAATATTCCAAAAATAATAGCAGATGTCTACGGGCTGTTTCTAATTACAAATATTCAATAAAATCCAAATATGTCTACTTTAAACACATAGGACTACAATTCTGTTAGAGCACGACTGGGAGTTAAGAGGAGACTCTACGATAAAATTTTGAAAATAACAAAATGAATAGCTACTACAAAGCCTTCCAGCAATATAAGGGAATCCATAATGGAAGAATGATTCAAAAACCCTGAGAAGTGAAATACTGAATATACCTTAATCACCATCTTGGTATCCTCCTTTGGTTTTTCAGTTAAAGTAGAAGTTTGTCTGAGATAAATAACGGAATAAATTAGATTACTCTCAGTTACTAAAAAAAAAAAATTAGAAAACTTAATTTTAAAACTTTGATGGCTTCAACACTTACATAGAGTCTTCCTGACTATAGCAATCAGTGAATAAGGTATCTTGTGAAACATCCAGATTATTATACATGGCAGGAATATCACACCTAAAAAAGATTTTATTGAATTTTAAAAATCTGGTAAGTCAGGTATGGTAGCATCTGGCCACATGCCCAGCACTCTTGGGAGACTGAGACAGGAGCATCTTAAGTTTCAGTCTCGGCTCTACCTCAAAGTAACAAAACACAAAGAGCTGGGGATATTTCTCAGTGTAAAGCTCTACATTCAATTTACTTTACAATGCGGGGCACGGTGACACACCTATAATCCAAGTTCATCTCTAGCCTGGGCAACTTAACCAAAATTAAATTTTCTTGGTTTTATTTAAATTTTCAAATAAAAAAATTTAAAAAGTACTGGAGATGCCAGGTGTGGGGCCACATGCTTGCTATCCCAGCACCCGGGTGGCTAAGGCCAGCCTGTTACACTCTTGAGCTCATGGCCAACCCTAACTACACAGTGAGAGCATCCCTAAAAAACAAGATAAAACAAAAGGGATGGAGATGTAGTTCAGAGCAAAGGCCTTGGATTCAAGACCCCATACCACAAAAAAATAAATAAAAATTCTGCAATTCTACTATATAATTTTATAAAAGTTTATAAAATCAAGACCCAGATAATTATTTTCCATTAACTCAGCTTCCCTTCTAACCCATCTCAGTAAAGAAATTCAGTATATGGACATTAGGAATGCCACTGTGTCATTTTATGCATTACGAAATCTAGTTATGCGCGACAGATCTTCTATCATTAAAATTTAGTATAATGGCTGGGCATACAGCTCAGGGATAGTACAGTACTTGCCTAGCATGTATAGAGCTCTAGGTTTGAGTCCCAGAACTCCAAAAGAACGTATATACAGTATATCTTAGTCCCAGTAACAAAGTTATAATCTGTTGCATGAAATCTAAGTATCAAAACAACAATTCACAAAAAAGTCTACCAACCGCTTTGTCTTGAGAACCTCTTTTTGATGTTCAGTTAATATTCTTTCTTTTGATTCTTTTCCTTCTGGAGGTATAAACACAAAATCGGTAGACTTTTCCTCTTCCAAAAGAAGTTCACTCTTTACTTTTGGAGATGAAGATTCTCGTTTTAGCTGCAGATTTTTTAAGAAATACATTTCAGTTTCTAAATTATTTTCTAGCATTACTACTGCTGTCATGATGCTGATAGTTTTACAAGAACACTTTAAAGTTTGAGGCTCAAGTGCATACTACAATCCCCACCAAACTTCTGTAACCTTGTTCACGTCTTTATTCCATCAAGTGTCCTTAAAAAGGAGACAACTTTGTGCCTGACTATAAAGGATTGGTCAATTACATTTTCACGACAACACAGAAAACCAACTAGTTTGGAAAGAGGTATGTATCTTTAATTCTCAAGTCGAGTCAATGAACTCGTGAAGATGACCGTATGTCCTAACAATAGTAACTCTGGTATTACACTAACTCTGTATAAATTTTCACTACAACCACTCTTTCTATTTCCAATAGCTACATCTACAAGAATGTATCAGTCTTTGAAATATTTTTCTTTCATTTTTCGAGGGTCTCAATCTCAAAATTCTCGAATAAACCGTATTGTCTGGAGGTCATGAAAGAGAATAATTGCTGCGAGAAAGTCAACAACTGACAACAAGGCACACACTTATTTCGACTTGCATTTAAAATAGAAGTCTTACCTAGGCACTATGTCTAGGCACTAATTATTAAATGCTATAATAACAGCTCTAAATAAAACATCTAAAATATTCTCTTATGCTACTTTATTAGTCCTTCATACCCAGACACATCCAATTTCAAGGAAGAAACTGCCTAGAGTAAGTATAATGGAATATAAAGTATAAACAATGATCAAAAGCACTCCACAAAATTACTGTTATTAACAAAGAATCAGCAACATGGCATGCCAAAATCAATCTGAAATAAGAGAAACATAGGCATAGGCTTTTACAAAATGACAAAGTATCTCTCAGGATTGCCTGTGGAAATGCTGCCTGCTCCTGGAGCAGGAACTGACGTTCTGTGCATTTCCCAAATAAATGATGGACTGCACATGTGGCAACTTCAAGCCACTCGGTCAATACGGGCGATAAAGCTCCTCATCTCTCTGCCTTGCTCCAACAGAGAAGGCTGCAGCCTGGCTGCTGATTTCGCAGCACACGTGGGCGAGTGACCGGGAAGCTGACTCTTCTCCATGCACCACCACTTTTCTTTCTTTCTCTCTGTCATGCGCCAGTGGCTACCTGAACATTCTGGCGACAAGGTCGAGGACCACAGCAGTGGTGGTGAAGGTAGTGAACGGAACAGTACCACCTCTCCTGCCCTGCTCCCAGCGCCAACTAACTCGAGACTAAGAAAATACAAGGAAATGAAGAGCTCATTCCTTGAAAGATTAAATAAAATTGATAAGCACTTTGCCAACCTTAATAAAAATGACAACTTATGACAGACATATCCGATACCAGGAATTTAGTAACTGAGAATAACTTAACATCGCATTACCATCTTTATTGCCACTATGGAAAACACATCATGAACTCAGAATAGCCCGCCAACCACAATTAGTGAACATCACAGTATAAAAAGCCCCGAGTGAGGAATTATACATCCTGAGTTTGTCTTGAAGAACTTTATAATCTTCCTATTTGAGACCCCAACAGAACTGGGAATATGACTGCCTCCTCAAACAAGCTGTTAGTATTTCAAGGAACCAAATTATCTAATACACCGTATCAACAGAACCAAAGACAAAAAACACTCATCTCAACAGAAGCAGGAAAAAGTATTTGACAAAGTCCAACACCTAACCATGATTAAAAAAAAAAAACCTACAGAAAATTGGAAGAGATGGTGTTTCTCTCAATCTGATAAAATCCATCTATGACAAAACAACAGTCAGCAGCATACTAAACTGTCGAAAGGGCTGGGGAGGTAGTGCAGTGGCACAGCGGCTGCCTGACAAGCAAGAGGCCTTGAGTTTGATTACTGGAACAAACAAACAAATAAATAAATAAATGGTCAAAACTCTGAAAGCTTTCACTCTAGAATCAGGAATAAGATAAGGATGTCCATTATGTTTCTGTCTGTATTGTTGGTATTTTGCTGTTTTTTTTTATTATATTCTTTAAAATTAAAAGAAAAAAAAGATGTCTATTATCACCACTGCTATTCAATCCAGTTCTGGAAATATTAGCAATTAGGTAAGAGGAAGAAATAAATGAAATAAAGATAGGAAAGGAAGAAGTTAAATTACCACTACTTACAGATGACATGATACTCTACAAAGAAGATCCCAAAAACTCCACCAAAAGATTTCTAGATTAATAACCAAATTGAGTAGCGCAGCTGGATACAAAGAGTCAACACTCAAAAATCAATAGCATTTCTACATACAAATAACAAACTCACTAAGAGAGAAGTTAAGGGAACAACCCCTTTCATAATGGCACTGAAAGAAATGAAATACTTAGGAATCAACCTAAGGAACAAGGTAAAAGATCTTTACATTGAGAACTACAGTACTCTGAAAAATAAGATTGAAGAGGATATCAGAAAGTGGAAAGATATGCCTTGTTCTTGCATAGAACCAACCAACATAGTGAAAATAGCCATACTCCCAAAACTGGTACACAGATTTAATGCAAACTCAATCAAAGTATCAATAGCATACCTCACAGAACTAGAGAAAATCCTAAAATTAATTTAGAACAAGAAGAGACCTACAACAGCAAAAGCAATTCTGGGCAACAAAGGCAAGGCAGCAAGCATCACAATCCCTGACTTGAAATTATATTACAGAGCTACCGTGATAAAATCACCATGGACTGGGCAAAGAAGAAAGAAAGAAAGAAAAAAAAAAAAAACAGACCTAAGGATCACTGGAACAGTTAAGGAGGGCCCCAGATGTAGCTCAGTGACAGCACCTGTCTGGCAAGTACTAGGCCTTGAGTTTGATTCCCAGTACCAAAAAAAGAGGAGGAAGAGAAATAACTCCAAATACTTAACCACCTTCAACAAAGTGGCCAAATTAAAGTGTTCACTAAAAGCCTCTGAAATCATGCTGGAAAAACTGGTTTTCCAGATGCCAAGGACTGAAACTAGACCCATGTCTATCACCATCACTGAAGTCAAAATGGATCAAAGATCTAAAATATAGACATAAAACAATCTGTTGGAAGATAAAATAGGTAGATCTCTTGAAGACACTGATGTAGGCAAAGACTGTATGAACAAAACCCCAATTGCACAGGAACTATCACAGACAACTAGGACCTCATGTTAAAAAGTTTTTGCCCAGCAAAAGAAATCACTAAAAGAGCGAAGACAAAACCCAGAGTGGGTAAGAATTTTTGTCAGTGGTTCAAGTAAAAGACTAATATCTAGAACATATAAAGAACTGAAAAAAGTCAGACTCCACAAATTTCAAGACTCAATCCAAAAACAGGCATTGGAAATGAACACACACTACCGTGATGAAGTATGAATGCCAAATAAATATATGAAAAGATGTTCAACATCACCAGCAATTCGAGAAATGAAAATTGACACAACGCTGAGACTTTACCTAACTCCAGAAAGCACGGCTATTATCACAAAATCAACCAATAACAAATGCTGGTGAGGCCGTGGAGAAAAAGGAAGTCTTCTCAACTATCAGTGGGAGTACAGACTGGTGCAACCACTGTGGAAATCAGTGTGGAGACTCCACAAACAACCTAAAACTAGCAGTTCCCTTTGACCAGCTAGTCCCCTTCTTGGTATCTTCCCGAAAACATAAAAAACACATACTACAGCAACAGATGCACACCCATGTTTATAGTAGCAACGTTTGTAATAGGACAAATCTTGCAAACAGTCCAAATGTTAATCAACTGATAAATCAGTAAAGAAGATGCGATTTATTTATACAATGGAGTACGTACCACTTTGCCATAAAAGACAAACTTGAGACATTTCTAGCTAAATGGATGCACCTTGAGACCACACTCTTAAGTGAAATAATTTGGACACACATGCAAAAAATAAAACTTTGTATCTCTGGTGTGAGAAATTCAAAGTGTGATTAAGGATTAATGTTCGAAGGGGAACTAGGGACCCGAGAGGAGGACAGGAAAGGAAAGCAAAGGAAAAAAATGAGAAAGGAAGGATAAACTAGGCCAGACGTGGTGGTGCATGCCTATAATCCCAGCACTTAGGAGGCTGAGGCAGAAGGATTGCTGTGAGGAGTTCAAGGCCAGGTTGGGCTACCAAGTGAGTTCCAGGCCAGCCTGAACTGCACAGTGAAACCCCGTCTCAAAAAAAAAAAAAAAAGAAGTATAAAATGGAAACAAAGCTTTTGTACAAGAGGGGAAGAGGAGCTGGCCGGAGGGGAAGAGGAGCTGGCCGGAGGGGAGAGGAATGGGGAAAAAGAATCCAGATATTATCATCTACAGGTACAAATTCCCGATGATGAATGTGATCCGTTATGTGTATTTAAAGTGTACAAATAAACAATAAAAAACATGCATACAGCTGAGACGTAGCTCAGTGGTGAAGTGTTTGCCTAGGAGGGACCCGAAACCAATAAAGACTAGGAAGCAATCAACACACAAGGCTCCTACACATCCAGGCTATCTTACTGTTCCTTCTACAACTCTCATTTCCCCACAATCCCATCTTTTTCCAAACACTGACCACATCTCAACTGCTTACTGCTCCAGTATGAAGTTGTATATCCATAAACTACCTTATACTTTATTTTAAAAATTCGATTAAATACATTTCTGAAAACATACTTTGGCAGACGGCTTCATATTTTCTTTTTTTTCCTTTGTTTGTGCCAAAAAAGAATCTCTTTTTCCATTTGATTTTCTTTCCATACCACTTATCTTCATATTTAATTGTGAATTTTCTGTCTGTTTAATGAAAAATCGAATAATTTTATTAACCATAATCTGGTTCTTTTCACATTCTGAAAATTCCAGTTTACTGAATATTCATCTCACATAATGTAAAATTTCTTCTGATTATTCAAGCCTGCTGAAAACAAAAATATTCAACCGAATTTGTGTAACGTTTACATGTTTCACACCATTTAACTTGTATGAGTTCTGAAATCAAGATACACCACTCATATTACAAAGTTAATCGAATCAGTGGACTCATGCTAACTAACACTGGAAATATTTGTAAGATGAAAATAAAAACTAGAAAATTTTCAGTGCTGAAGAATTGAGCCGGGGGTATAGCTCAGCGGCACAAGCGCCTGCCTAGCAAGCACAAAGTCCTGAGTTCTACTCCCAGTGTCAAAAAGAAAACAAACAAACAAACAAACAAATGCCGGGCGTGGTTGCTCACGCCTGTAATCCCACTTGGGAGGCTGACACAGGAGGATCATTGTGAGTTTGAGACCAGGCTGGGCTCCAAAGTGAGCTCAAGGCCAGCCTGAACTGCACAGTGAAACCCTGACTCAGAAAGACAGAAAGAAAGAACGAAAGAAAGAAAGAACGAAAGAAAGAACGAACAAAAGAACGAATGAAAGAATGAACTAAAGAACGAAGAAAGAACGAACGAACGAAAGAACGAGGTATGGCAGTGCACACTTGTAACCCCTGCATTTGGAAAGCTAAGACAGCAGGATGTAGAGTTTGAGGCCAGCCTGGCCTACTCAGCAGAACTGTCACAAACCCACAAAAACAGAGCATTAACATAGCTCAGTGGCAGAATGCCTGCATAGTATTCTGCCACTGAAGAAGGGAAGGAAAGGAGCAGGAGGACAGGCAGGCATGCAAGTATGTATGATACAGAATATTAATATACCAAACACATGTTCTCACAGCACAATATACAGTATACATTAAATTACAGTGAACCAGTGCTAACACTAACCCATTTGATCTGGTGAGAATTTTTATTTAGCAAAACAAAACTTAGCTATCACTATTTCATTTTTTTTTAACTGATTCTATGCAAAACACACACACACACACACACGCACACACACATAAAACAGATACAAACCCAGTGTAGTGGGGGGCATGGCTGTAATCTCAGCTACTCAGAAGCCAGAGGCAGAGGCTGAGCAAGAAGATTACAATGTCAAGGCCAGCCAAGGCAAATTAGGGAGACTTGCATTCAAATTAGTAAAACAGAGGGGGCACAGCTCTGTGGCAAATACGAAGCCCTGGATTCAATCCCTAGCACCACCACAGGTTGGGACAGGCAGGGGCACTGCTTGGCTAAATACCACCTCTTGCTGAACAGAAAAGAACACCTTCTAAGGATGCTCCAAACTTCACCGTCTTTACTCCTCTCAACTACTAGATCTCCAGAAAGTAACTGTTAGCCAAAGCAATCTTGGTTCTAAAGGATGATTGTGACAGCAGGTTGTTTTTCTGACAGGAGAAATTGGACACAAGAAAAAGAGAAAGTAAAATTATTTCTAGGTTTTCCAAAGCAATACTCATCAATCTTTGTAGAACAGTATGTGTTATGTCCTGAGTTCAAGATTGTTTACACGAGAATCTAGTGAAGATTTTTGCCCTTAATTCATATACCATTTGTGTACACACACACACAAACACACACACACACACAGAGTTATGGAACTCTTCTATTCAGAGTCTGATTACTTAATATAGTTCAAGCATCAATCAATAATTAAAAAACAAAACTTACTGTATCTGAATATGATCCACTAGATTCCTCCATTATTTCAACATTTTCCAAACCAGGCAACAGAAGCAAAAATTTTTGTTTGGCTTCTCTTAGTACTGGCCTTTTAAAAATATATGTAAATAAATACACATTTAGGTCAAGGGTACTGGTACTTACGATGCTAACTAGAGCATTTATTTTAATTTTTAAAGGAGCAAAATTAACTGGCTTAAAGATTACTAACATACAAAAGTGGGAGAGATTACACAATATCTGAATTATCTTCTATTCTTTTTAGTTTCCCTATTTTCTTTTTTAAAAAATTTTCAAAGTGACTGTATTCTTATCATGCAAAATTTCAAACAAAAGTAAAATAATACATTTAGGTATCAACACTGAGCTTTAGTAATTATCATTGCCCTTATTTTTCAGGGATGATTTTAAATTGCTTTCACTAGTTCCTAAGAATCAAATTACTTTAAAGCCCCCTGGCAAAAGTTTATGTTAAATATCAGAAATTATAAATAATAGTTCAACTAAAAACTTCTCTGCAACAATTGGCCTAAGAAAGTTGATGTTAACACCAAAGCCGGCCATATAGCTCAGTGGCACAGCGCCTGCCTGGCAAGCTCCAGGTCCTGAGTTCGATTCCCAGTGCAAAACACAAAACGAAACAAACCACACAAACACCAAAATACCAGTGCACATTATCTTATAGAACAGATAGCTGAATGGGCTGTGTTAGCTTACTTTAACTCTTCAGGGTAGGTCAACATCGCTACTTTAGCAAACGTGGCATTCCAGAACTGAGCGGTCTGCTTTCGAATCTGTTTATTCCTATGCAGAAATATTATGCATAGCAGTGGGGAGAGCTGTTCCAGAAGTTCACTGTCAAAAGTCCCAGCGCTAAACTGCAGACAGGTAGTAATTTCTCCTAGTAGCTTTTCTAACTAGGAAAAAGGAAAGGAAAAAAGCGAAAGTATACTAAATGTCACATCGAAGTACATGGTACTATTGCAACGTTTAGTATATGGGTGATTTATTAAGTCCCTATGGTCACAGTAATACATATCCCTGTTACTTGGCAAACTGTCGGTAATTTTTTTTGATTACTGACAATCCAGCTTGATTGAGTTTATTCTCCACTTAAGAGCGGAAAAAAAGGTTTTACGTTCACTGTAATAGTAATGTTAGCCTAACTTTCAACGATGTAACTGTGGACAGTTACACACAACCCTCATACATAAAGACATGAAACAGGACTTGTTCATGTAATTTCAAAATAGTATTACAAAATCTTTTTTAAAAACTACCTGTGAATGTATCTGTATCATACTACTAAATGCCATTAAAAACTACTATAACATTTAAAAATCAGAATTATCTTTAAGGAAGGTGATTATCTAAGCCCATTTTCTCTTCATGAAAGTATGTTTTATGGACAATAGTCTATTTTTACCTTGTTGTTCAGAGAACTATACACTTTAGGAACTTCATCAAGGCTGGAAAGAAAAACACATAACATGTAGTAACATTTGTATTTTAGGAAACTGACATACTACCTACCAAGCTAAACCTAAAAATTAAGTAATACAGCCATAAACCAACAAGGTATCGACACAGTATCCAGACTTAATAAGGAAACCAACCTCCCTCCCACAAAAAAACTGGAAAACATTAAGCATGAAACACACCCAGCAATAGGAAATAAATCACAGAAAAGTCTACAATATAAGTTAATGTAGTCCTACACTCCTTTTTGAATGCTTTAAAAGCATAAATTACCCTTGATTAAATAAAGACTAAAATTTGCCAATGTAGTTAAGTTCATGGACTTTGGTACTGTATTTCGCACATTATAAACCTTACTCCTTGAAACTGTTTCGATGAATTTATTTCACAAAAGATGAACTATTACAACTAAACCACACAAGCTGGTTAAAAAGAATACTGAGCCGGGTGTGGTGGCGCATGCCTATAATCCCAGAACTCAGGAGGCTGAGGCAGGAGGATCCTTGCGAGGTCAAGGCCAGCCTGAACTACATAGTGAAACCCTGTCTCAAAAAGACCAAAAAGTAAATAAATAAACACAATACTGAGAATTTCTTTCAGAATGTTACTTGGGATTTCTCTAGGTTCTAGGGCACTACATACGTCAAATGTGAAAGTAGTAATTCATACTTTTGAAGGCTGATTCTAAAACTGAAGTGTATACATTTAAAGAACCTTACTCTAGGCAGACAAGTGGAAGGAAACATGAGGGCAGTGTACAAATAAGGGAGAGAAATGGGACATTTCATGACATTTTTAATGCGTGTATCAAAATGGCACAACGAAACCCAACACTTTGTAAAATTAACAATATATATTTTAATACATATAAAATATATACTGTAAGACAATGAAAAAAATCTTATTTTTCAGAAACAGTGGTCAACACAGACACTAATTTTTGTACAAATAATGCCCAACAGTTTGTGAAGGAAAAGTGCTAAATAACCATGCCTACCCATCCACCAATCAAAATATAATGAAATCCTATGCAGACATTTTATACAATCATACTTATGTCAATGGTGCAAAACACAAACAAGTGCCTAAGACAGACTTAACTGCAGAGTAGCATATCAAGTATGTTTTATCTATTATTTTTCTTTTGTTTTTCCTAAGAAACTATAAAATTTAGTAAGTATGCTTATTTGCGTAAGCGATTCTGAAAAAAAAGTAACAATCGAAAAGGACAAGGGAATAAATATAAAAAATAAGACTTCCAACTTTCACCTAAAATTAGCATTTGATCTATCTTTTTAACACAGAACATTATCCTCAGTAAAACTGTCAAGAGTACTAGGAATAGCAGAGCTGATAGGAAAACACACTTATTTAAACTGCATACATTTAATTCAAACTAAGTCCAAAATACTTACTTGGTGTTTTCATAAAATAATGCCAAGGGCCTTGTTAATACTGTAAATATTTTTCGAATCGCAGAAGGCAAAGAAATGTGCCCGAGCAGACTGGAAATCACGCTGATGACTGAGCTGCCAATACCAAGCAGAGAGTCAGAATGAGCCTCCTCGAAGCTCAAGGTGTGGAAGGAGCCGATCACTTTTACAATAAGCTTAAACAAAGAGGCCAATCTTCCCAGAGGGTCTTTCTTCTTTTTGGCCCAGTCTGAAGATCTCTGTGGTGCTGAGACACAAATGAATTGATTAAAAACTTAGTATTTTGAAAACAGTGTCAATATCTACCTGAATAATTTATATCACATATTTAAATAATGCATTAAACACACATGATTTTGTTAACTGACATTACAAAGAAACCCTAAAATGATACACCATTAACAAATATACAACAGCAAAATATTATCTTTACAAACGAAAATCAGACACAGGGGCTGGGGATTTAGCTCAGCGGCAAAGCGTCTGCCTGGCAAGCGCAAGGTTGTAAGTTTGGTTCCCAGTACCGGAGGAAAAAAAAAAAAGAAAATCAGACACAATGGAAAAACTATTTGGCAAGAATAACAAAAATGACTGTTTCCCTATAAAATCTGAAATTTTTCTATTTTTCATTATTTCAACAACTACTTTATAAAATATACCAAAACCACATAAGGCAGGCCCCACAGTTAAATTTTAAGTTTTCAAAACTAAAAATTTCTATTAGAAATTACTATTCCCTGAGTCATCTACAGTACACTGACTCCTACATATATCCAAACCCTGAGGAAAAAATATGCAAATAAACTTTACTATTTACTTGATTCAAAGAAAATAATCTTAAAATCACTGACATCCACCATAGGACTAAGCACAAAATCTTGCAAAATCCAAAATTAACTGTTTTCTCTCAAATAAGCTATTCTAAGCTAAAAGATTTCAGATTTCAGAAAATCCTATGTCAGTACATAGTAATTAGGGCCAGGGATGTAGCTCAGTGGCACAAGCTCCTGCCTGGCAAGCACAAGGTCCTGAGTTCAATTCCCCTGACAAAAATAAAAAAGTACATAGTAATTAAAAATTAATCTCATGTGGTGAAAAACTATTACTAGTTGAAGGAAGGCAACCTTCCACCCTAAAGCCAACTCCTCCAATGTGAGAGCACACTGGCAATGCTGCTGAGAAATTCTTGGACAGGATACTGAGGTCAACAGGACACCCTGTGTGTGAGGAAACTGGTGCAATAGTAACAGCTAATCAAATTAAAAACTAAGAGTAATGACAACCAGGCTCCTCACCAAGAGGAGGTAGGTACAAATACCAAAAACGGAAAGAAGTACCCATGTGGCATTAGATGGTAACTAACTCAAAAGAAACAGGTACCCTGGTAGGCATGACGACACAAACCTGTAATCCCAGCACTCAGGAGGCTGAGGCAGGAGGACTACTACAAGTTCAAGGCCAGCCTGGGGTACATAATGAGTTCTAGGCCAGCCTAAAATACACAGCAAGACTAGGGTCTCAACAAAAAAACACACAAAAACCAAAAAAAAAAAAACCAAAATCCCAAACAGGTACTAGGTGACACCCCCCAAATTCCCAGCTTTGTCCACTAAGAGGATTCAGAGTAGCAGTTAATGAACTTTGGTTTCAAACTGCCAGTCTCAGCTCAAAGGAACCATACTCCCTGGAGAAATGCCTAATTCCAGTCTGGGGGCAAGTACAAGGGAAGGCTGAGTGTCTTACAGCATCACTGTCAAAATAATGTGGATGCGTCCAAAGGTTATACAGGACACCTAAAAGGTGAGGGTAACAGGTAAGCCGGACCTTTGGGCACTACAACGAATAATGCTAATGAACTACAGTGCCCTGAATGGAAGGGAATCCAGGCATCCCTCCCAATAAACTTCAGCAAGGAATAAGGGAGGCTGTACCGTGTATGACCCATTGTCACGGACAACCTACATCTGAAGATAACGAGTGACTAACATTGCACAAGTCACTAGTGAGGGGAGGTCTCTGGCTGTTCTAGACAGAGTGAAAATGACCAAAGACAATTCTAGCAGGTTGGCAGGTCATGAATGTGATACACAGCGAGATCTAACTTGTCAGAAGTACTGACATTGGTAAAATTATGTAAATACTTCCAGTGGCACATCGATAGCTCACAAAATAATTTCAGGTAACACTTTTAAGTTCTGGTATTCAGAAATTACCTTTCGACAAAATAAAGTGATCAGATTACGTCCTACTTAACCAAAGGGAACAGCTGAAATTTCAAACATGTCTATGTGTAACTGTTCTATTAGTCTACCTAGTAATAATTGACAAGCCACACTACACAAGAAGGATTCTGAAAGCACTTGAAATGTTTTAGAAGTCATCAGCAATCTATCTTTCTAGTGGGAAATTATTTTTTAAATAGAAAAGCCAAATCTCAACATCAATTTGCATTTTTATTAATGGCAAGTAATCACTTTATAGTTAAGAACATAAAAACACGTGGAGGGGCTGGGGATTTAGCTCAGCAGCAAAAGCGCCTGCCTGGCAGGCGCAAGGTCATGAGTTCGGTTCCCGGTATCGGAGAAAAACCAAAAAACAAAAAAAAAAAAACAAAACAACACGTGGAAATATTTCAAGCAATCAACTATTAGATTGTAATTTGTGGTATTTACTGCAAACTCAACCATGAAATGTATTTTTTCAAACCAGGTTATTACAATCTCGACAGACCAAACGAATTGGCTGCGCATGGTGGCAGACCACTGTAATCGCAGCACTCAGAAAGGAGTCTCAGGCAGGGGGAGAGAGGCCAACTTCAGGGACACAGCAAGGCCCTGTGCTCAAAAATCAAAACAACAAAAAAAATTTTTTTTTGTCTTTTTGAGACAGGGTCTCGCTATGCAGTTCAGGCAGCCTTGAGCTCACTTTGTAGCCCAGGCTGGTCTCGAACTCGCAATGATCCTCCTGCCTCAACCTCCTGAGTGCTGGGATTACAGGCGTGCACCACCATGCCCAGCTCAATTATTTTTTTTAAAAAGATTTTAACTTTCCTGTAAAATCATAACCAATTAACTGATTTCATGATTTTCTTTTCAATGTTAATTCAATTATTATTTTCCAATCAGATTTCCAATAGGAATATTTCTTAAAGAATATGTTAAGTTTCTTGTTCAGGTAGTCTCTCATATCAGAAGGAAGGAAAAATATCATCTATAGAGATAATCAATATAATTAAGACATTTTATTCTTTGTCTAAAAAGAAACTGTGTGGAGGAGGAGGGGAGGGAGGGGACTTTCCTGACAATCATACGGTAGTACTGCATTTATGAAATACTAGATGAATACAACTAGAAAATACTTACATTTAACTTTGGGCTGGTATTTATTATTATATGGTGAAAAGTCAATGCAATCAGCTATTACAGTAATAATATGGATGATCCTGTCCAGAAACAACAAATTCTAGGGAAGAAGAATACCGTAATTAGAAACTTTAAACTACGGTCACAATATTCAAAAATAGTACACAAGGGCCTGGGGATTTAGCTCAACGGCACAGCGCCTGCCTAGCAAGCGCGAGGTCGTGAGTTCGATTCCTGGTACCGGAAGAAAACCAAAAAAACAAACAAACAAACAAAAAAATAGTACACAACAAGAAACGGAACTGTTTACTACCACAAATACCACACAAACACATTCCATAGCTTTTCTAATATAAAGTAAAACTATATGGCCATACGTATCTTCCAGTTAACTGCTATGTGCCAAATACTATCAATTTAAATTCCTCAACATTCAGGAGAAAGTTTATCTTTATGATGCCTGTAAAACTCATCATATCATTCATTGGAATGATCCAATGTAGGAAGTAGGTCTGAAAATACAAGGCTCTTGGCAGGGGTGGACAGAATGCTAGCACTGTCATTCAATGTTGGAAACTAACAGATGAAACGCTACAAAATGCTGTGAAATATTTAAGGCTGAAATGCAAGTAACATGTTCTATATGCACAAAGAGCCATATTTAAAAATGTATTTACTGCCAGGCATGGTGGCACATACCTGTAATCCCAGCACTCAGGAGGCTGAGGCAGGAGGATCACTGCACGTTCAAGACCAGCCTGGGATACAAAGTGAGCCCAAGACCAGCCTGAACTGCATAGTGAGACCCGATAGACAGACAGATAGATAGATAGATAGATAGATAGATAGATAGATATGTCTATTCTAAGCACTCATTACATATTTGATGTTTTATCTACATCTTATTTCCCTAAGTGCATAGTATACAATATAGTAGAGCTCCAGACAAAACAGAAGAGAGGTGAATAGACTGCCACATAGGAAAGGAAAGCTAAGCACATGTGCTGTCAGTGTAAGCGAGACAGGTGCATTAAACATGCAGGTGGTTGTGTGTGAAGACTGCCTTTGGTGTGACAACTGAAGCAAAGCTTACTTTTATTATATAATTCTATTGGTATTTACACTGTAGCTCACATAGGAATTTACTTTGATGTTATCTTTTAGTTTTGTAAGTACACAGTAATATGAGAGGCCTATTCTAAATGCACAACACATATTAAGAATTTACTACTTTGATATTTTATGTTCCTATTAATTACATGCTGTGTAATATAGGAGCCTCCTGACAAAACAACAAGATCACTGATGTCAAGTGTGTCCTATGAAAGGCCAGGAAAGCAGAAAACATGTGCTGTCAGTGCAAGTGATACGTGTACATGGAACATGCTATTGACATGTGTGCAGATGCCTTACGTGTCACAATAGAAGATTCTCTTATTTTTGTAAAAATATTTTATTCTTCTATTTTCATTATAGTTCATATAAGAATTTAATAATTCATCAACAGAAATACTCTAAAGAATAAATGTGGGTCTGGTAGATCCATACTTGTGCACCTTAGTATTAACCTTTAGTAACATACATAGTAACAAGAACCAGTGCCATGACAGTATGCTAAACATAAAGAGAACTTAATCTAATGTTAGAA